CAGCGGGACCTGATGGAATGACGCCAGAGGTATTTAAGTACGGTGGAGACAGCTTACTGTCCGGATTAACTGAGGTACTAGGCAGCGTCTGGGAATCAGAAGAAGTCCCATCGGGTTGGTGTAAGTCACTGATTATCCCCATATACAAGAAGGGAGACAAGTCTTCCTGTGATAATCACAGAGGGATTAGCTTGACTAATATAGTATCTAAAGTCTTAGGCTCAATAATCATGCGTAGACTGAGTGGTGCTCGGGAAGCACAAACACGAGAGAGCCAGGCAGGCTTTAGACCAGGAAGAGGGTGTATTGATCATATCTTCACCCTCCGACAGATTCTAGAACATAGGCATTCCTACCGGCGTCCAACAGTCATTATATTTCTTGACCTAAAGGCAGCATTCGACTCTGTCGATCGGGAAGTTCTCTGGAGATGCTTGGCTGTAAAGGGAATTCCAAGAAAATATATTGCACTGATTAAGGCACTCTATTCGTACTCATACAGCCAGGTGAGGGCTTACGGCGAGCTGTCATCTGAACTGATGACGACCAGTGGTGTCCGTCAAGGATGCTGATATGTATCCACATATATATATATTTATGTGTGTGTGTGCATGTTGGTCTCTCTTTCTGTTTGCTCGGTTAGTCTGTGACCACTTCACTTGTATGGACTTGTCTCCTTTAATAATGTGTATTCTCCTTATATTATATTATATATAATATGAGTGTTTGTTGACAGTCCGTTGCTTGGTGACATATAGCCATATATGTTTGTTGGCATGTCTGCTATATTCGTTATGTATAATTGGATCGACACTCCATTATAATTAGCCATTCATGTTAAGACTGTCTAATGATTTTTCCCACGCTTGTCTGAATTATTTATATATATTCGCATTCACAATTTGTGTGAACTACTTTACTTTACAACTACTTTACTTACTTACCACTTTGGTGTGAGACCATTTATTTTCGTCTCCTTGTGTTTGGACAATAGAAGTATCATCGCAAACCTAGTGGTCTTCTGATTTCCGCCTTCTCGCGTCAGGACTATTAGTTTCTCGACCAGTCCATAACAATAATTTAGCGACGAGTACATAACAATTTGGCGACGGGGAAAACTAGTACATAACAATTTGGCGACGGGGAAAGTACATAACAATTTGGCGACGGGGAAAACTAGTACATAACAATTTGGCGACGGGGAAAACTACTATTAACCACTCAGCAGCAGCAACATAACAATTTACTATGGATTATTCTAAATTGGAATTATTGTTTGAACGACAAATGAAATTAATGGAAATGTTCGTCAACCAACAGACTGGTCCAGCTTCACCTTCAAGCAATCCCAATCATACCATGCTACCATCTGTCGACGGCATTGTGAACAGTATTTCACAGTTCAATTATGACCCAGAGGCTAATGTCACTTTTGACACATGGTATCAACGTTATGAGGATTTATTCACTGTTGATCTCGCCTCACAAGACGATGCCTGGAAGGTGCGAGTTTTGCTACGTAAATTGGGTCCGGCAGAATATGAACGGTACTGCAACCTAATTTTACCACAGAAACCACGTGACAATTGTTTCGATGATACAATAAAGTTGCTGCGTGAACATTTCGGAGACCACTCCTCATTATTCAGTATACGTTATCGTTGCCTCAAGCTGGCAATGAATGAAAATGATGATTTTCTTACTCACGTTGGCACAGTCAACCGAGAATGTGAGAGATTTCGACTCAGGTCCTTAACAGATGATCAGTTCAAAGCCTTGATTCTCATATGCAGTCTTCAATCTCCTCGTTTCACAGATATCCGAACTCGACTGCTCAATCAGCTAGAACAAAATCCCAAGTTAACATTAAATGACATAGCTGATGAATATCAACGGCTGATTAATCTGCAGAAAGACACACACCTGGTCGAATCAACACCTCCGAGAAGCTCTGATATTCGTGCATTACGCAAGAGCAAAAATCTCTCATCATCTACTCCTGACCCACCTACTTCTCTTAATGTTCCGCGGAAATCTACAGATACTCGTCCAACTTCACAAAATACGACAAAGAAGACCCCTCCATCACCATGCTGGCACTGTGGCGCGTGGCACTTTGTAAAGTCTTGTCCGTATAAAAATCATCGTTGCAGTAAGTGCAAGATCATCGGTCACAAAAATGGTTTTTGTCAGCCACGCAAACCCAGATGTCAAAGTCTAGCGAAAGCTCGACAAACTGTTGGTCCTGAATCCCCCAAAAAGTCATTGAGTCTACGCGCAACCCGTCAAGTCACAACACCAGCTATGCGGAAATATCTTGATCTTCAGATGAATGGTCATGATGCACGTCTGCAGTTAGATACCGCCTCTGATACTACTGTTATATCAGAGAAACTTTGGAATTATATTGGCAGACCACCTATCACCAATACTTCCCAGTCTCTTGTCAGCGCCTGTGGTGGGCGCCTCAAACTTATTGGTGAACTCAAATGTTCTGTTTCCTTCCGCAATACCAAATTCACAGGAATTTGCTACGTCACCAAGAGTGATTTAAATCTTTTGGGACTTGATTGGTTCTATCGTTTGCATCTGGCTGATGTCCCACTAAATTCTCTACGCAATACAGTCAAGAAGCATAAAATGCTAGACAATTCCGGACGGAGCCGAAGCCGCAAACCCAACAATCAGACGAAACGACAGGCGTCAACAACAAGCCCAAAGGTCCCAGATAAACCCCCAGGTAAACATCCTACTAATCATCCATCTTCTCAAAAGGGGAGGTGATATGTATCCACATATATATATTTATGTGTGTGTGTGCATGTTGGTCTCTCTTTCTGTTTGCTCGGTTAGTCTGTGACCACTTCACTTGTATGGACTTGTCTCCTTTAATAATGTGTATTCTCCTTATATTATATTATATATAATATGAGTGTTTGTTGACAGTCCGTTGCTTGGTGACATATAGCCATATATGTTTGTTGGCATGTCTGCTATATTCGCTATGTATAATTGGATCGACACTCCATTATAATTAGCCATTCATGTTAAGACTGTCTAATGATTTTTCCCACGCTTGTCTGAATTATTTATATATATTCGCATTCACAATTTGTGTGAACTACTTTACTTTACAACTACTTTACTTACTTACCACTTTGGTGTGAGACCATTTATTTTCGTCTCCTTGTGTTTGGACAATAGAAGTATCATCGCAAACCTAGTGGTCTTCTGATTTCCGCCTTCTCGCGTCAGGACTATTAGTTTCTCGACCAGTCCATAACAATAATTTAGCGACGAGTACATAACAGATGCCCATTATCTCCTTTTCTATTCAACTTCATCATAGATGTGTTAATGGACTTAACCCTAGGTGACTTCAGTGACTCAGGAATTGACTTGCTACCGGGGAATAATCTCGTTGACTTGGAATATGCAGACGATATAGTCCTTCTAGGCGAAGACGCTGACGAAATGCAGAATCTTCTAAACACCTTGAGCGGCAATCTACGAATGTTTGGCATGCGATTCGCTCCCGCCAAATGCAAGATGATGTTACAGGACTGGACTACATCGACGCCTAGTTTAAAAATAGGAAGTGAAGTGATAGAGCACGTTGACCGCTTCACTTATTTGGGAAGTACCATCAGCCCCAACGGGCTGATCTCTGACGAAATCTCAGCACGAATACAGGGGGCTAGTTTCGCATTTGTTAGTTTACGCAGACTCTGGCGTAGACGAGATGTTCGACTATCGACCAAAGGGCGGGTGTACTGCTCATCAGTACGCTCCGTCCTCCTTTATGGTTGTGAGACCTGGCCACTGAGAGTGGAAGACATGAAAAGACTAGCTGTCTTTGATCATAGGTGCCTATGTTCTATTTCCCGTGTAAAGTGGCATAATAAGGTGAGCAACATGGAGGTTAGGCGTCGAGTTCTAGGTAAAGAGGGGAAATCAATCGACGAAGTCGTGAAGCTACAAAGACTGAGATGGTTAGGACATGTGTTACGTATGCCAAGCCATCGCCTCCCTCGACGAGCAATGTTAGCGGATATAGGGTCAGGCTGGAAAAAAGCTAGCGGCGGTCAAACAAAAACTTGGCATCAGTCAATGAAATCCACAACAGTTGGTCTAAGCCACGTAGAAAGGTGTAGACTTCCAGGCTGGGGTCCTCGGGACGGTAAAAATCTACGGTTGGAAACAATTGGTGACATGGCTCAAAATCGTTCTCAGTGGCGCAGATGCATCCACTCCCTGTGACTTATGATCTTCAATGAAACTGTTTTGTATTTCTTTATTACTCCTTTTTCTCACACCTCTGCTCACTGTTTCTATTATGCTTTTCTTGTACTTTCTTCTCTTGCTTCGCGTGCTACACGGAATGTGGCGACTTGAACTTCCGCACATTTGTGCAAAGTTCTATGTCGAAAACAGACAGACAGAGGTGTGGTGTATCCATTCGGACATTCGACTTTGGACCAGTGAGTTCCAGGATGGAATCCCACTTAGCCAAATTCAGCTCAAGTAACTGAGTTATCGTGTGTGCCGGTGGCACATGGGTTAGGACGCTCGCCTACCATGCACATGGTCCGGGGTTCAATCCGCGACTGACGCAGTCCTTTACCTCGCTAAGCCAGAAATAATTCTGGTAAAGAGGAAAGGTTGGGCATGAGGCTAGCAACCCCATCCTGTAAAATAAACACTGCTACAGAAACTTCAAGTCACGTGAAGGGAAAAAAACTGAGTTATCGTACACGATAAGTATGACTCATGGTCCTAGTGAGTGAAAAATGTGTCACTCCGGATAACTGAGTGGCTGGTTATCTCAGTGACAGGATTATATATATTACCTAACACGAATAGTTTATAAATATCACCTGCTTCTAAGCATTCATGGTGAAAAGATAAAACTTATCTTCTAATTTTAATTAGAAGATTCTCTTGAAATAAAAAAAACAACAATATTTTCAATGTGTGATATTATCAAACAAAATAGTTACTTTATTAATAGCAACAGCGCAGCTTAAACCAGCCAACTCCATAAGTTGATCAACAGAAAAAGCATATTCATTGAATAGTTCATTGTCCAATTGTTGAGCTTCTATTTGACTATAAGTAGATAAATAAAAATTATAAAATCGATAAAATTTCAAGAAAAAAAACTCTAAATGAAAACTAAAGAAAAATACAATCTCTACACAGATTAATCTTTCACTTCAGTAGATTGTTCTCATCTAATTTTTTACCAGTCGGTAATACGGAAATGTCAAAGCTTAGTTTCACTCAGATGTGGTTTCTTATGCAGCAGGCCACAGACCATACTTAGTGTGTGACGACTGCTGATCTACTACTGCCTGGCCACCAAGCTTCAAGCAGGTGAACCTGCTGTCTGAAAGTCCACAACTGAAGCTAACGAGCTACATCTCTACTCAATCAGCAAGCAACTCCTAATCACGGCAAAATGTTAAATAAGAATGAAACTACAAGGAGACAAATATCATAAGTCGAATAACTTTCCCTTAATAATCAAAAAATCCAAGAATCTCGTTTGAGTGACTTGAGATGGTAGCTGCCTAATTATAACTAGTAATTCACTGGTCGAATGGAGATTTTAGACAAAAAATGACCTTCAGAGATACACACAATAATGGAAGAGTTGGAAAATGGATAAAGTACAGTCGAAGCGATACAGGAGAAAAATAGTTGAAGCAAGTGAAATTTCCTACCAAATGAATACTTATGGTTATTTGATTGCCGATAACATCAAAACTTAGAGAATATATCATACTGAAAGGTTTACCGAGGGAATATGTTACGTTTGTACTGGAAACTTTTCTCTTCCTGCTTTGACTACATTTTTTCAAGAGGTCACGTCATATGAGTATTTTTAGTTGATTGAAAAACCGATTTAAGAACGTTTGAATTATTCAAATGATTACAGGAAAATGGGCGTAAAAATTTCTGTACAAACTAGTATGAATTTTCTGTTAGTGCATTTGAGTCCTGCCCTGTCTAATTTAGTGTCGGTAACTGCATACTATCAGCGATTCTGACAAAATAAATGTAACTCACAGCCTGTGTGTTTGAAAAATCAGTCCCCAGTAGTTGAGTTTTTACAGGCTTTTGCTTCAGATCACAAGTAAAATTACAAGATGACAGGAATGTGAATGAAATGTGATAAGTAATCTGAAGGGTTTTCCTTTCCGCTAATTAAATATCGAGAGTTGATTAGATATATATGTAGAGAGTTATTCATAGTTTGAACCACTTTTTTTTTATTGATTTATAGACGAAATAACAGTGACAATGAACTTTCCCAAAGTATATGCATGTGTAGATTATACATCTCAATGTATATAGACGAGTTTTCTTCAGTCCAGAGTTTTCAACTGTCAGTGCAGCACGAAAGTAAGGCAGTTCAATTCGCCACAATTCCTAAAGGTATAGAAAAATTCAATAAAACTACAACGGTATAATCCCATGAATAATAATGACTTTTAGAATCCAGAGGATCGTGTGGAGTAAATACGTCTGCACAGCTGCGAAAGATTTCGTGCTTTGTCACTAAAAGTGGACAACCAATGGTTTTTAGTGTCTTGAGGACCTCAACCAGGTAGTGTACACTCTTCTACGTGGCTTAGACCAATAGTCAGCGAATTCATGGGCTAGTGTCACATTTTTGTCCGACCTCCTCGCACTCACTTCCAACCTGACGAAAGATAATAACATTAACGATACAAAAATATTTCTTTCAATTCACCACAAAACTACTTAGTTTCATCATAGTGAAAATTAACTGCAGACATACAATCAGACGTCATCCATAAATAGACTTAAAAACTTGCTAGAATGTGGTCAGTGTTGGTGAACAGTGAATGGATATCCGATGACGTTACTTATTTGAACTGGTTTCATTTTCGTTAGGGGCGACAATCCTTGCTGTGGTTTTAACGCTAGCTAGTTGATAGAAAACCAGAGCAATATGATCAGAAGTATCGATGTGTGGTGAGAACTGGCTGCGAGCAAGCCAAAATTATAGACAGCAATTTACGTCAATGTTATGTCCCGAATTAGGGTCATGAGAAGAACAATAACAAGGCTTAACCTTGAGGAACTCACCAACTAATCACAGTGGGCTTAACGTGTGCAAATAGGATTCACAGATATATGACTTAACTTTCTGAGAAACGGACACAAGCAATACACAATAACCTTCAGTAAGAAAACAACCAAAAAGAAGACGTTGCTTCTCCGCTGGCAACAATGTACATAAAAATCTATAAATATCTCTTGATTCTTCCAATAAACAATCTGTTACCTAGCCTTTGTCTTCTGTCGTTACATATGTATATTATACTGACACGTATTTTTATACTTTTTCAGTGCATTTATTGTGAGAGACTGTGAACTAGATGATCAAACTGTTGTATAATTAACCTCGCTATATTGGTTGATTAATCGATTTTCAACATTCCCATCTGTCTTTTAATGTTGACTCCTCTGACATTGTGTCGCTAATTAAATATCTGTGTAGTATTCTGAGTTCTAGAGGATTGTCTTCTGGCCACAGTAATAATTCCTGACAGTGTTATCGACAGTTTCTGAACTGGTCATTATACCAATGTGTTATCGTTAGAGGCCAATGTTTTTAAAAATTTCACTTAACGGATATTGTTCAGTTTCTCTACCGAGTAAACTCATTAAACACCATACTGATTGGAAACTATTAATTTGTTTATTAGATATATCATACAGTGAAACAGTATTATTTACTGGATGATGAAGTATCGTACACAATTTATTGTTCATAATCATATTAATTATGATAATAATGTTAACTGAAATGATTATGAACAATAAATTGTGTTCGAAACTTCGTCATCCAGTACATAATACTGTTTCACTGTATGATATATCTAATAAACAAATTAATATGGAATGACATACTACCACAGTGCCCACGTTTTACACATATATTGGAATGAAAACTAGTCATTAGAGACATTTAGTTTATGATAAAAAGTGCCTGAATTTTTCGTGAAGTGGAAATCATCCAATTTACGCCAGGAGAGAAGGTAACAAGAGAAATAAAAGTGGAAAATGTAACCATGGGCCACAAGACAAGAAGTATGAAAATTAAAGAATGTGATAAAAACTGGCGTTACATGTAAGATAAGAACAGTTACTTTTACTAGCCAAGCATATTGTTTTGAAATTTTTTTTCTTGACTAGTGTTTCCCAATTTGTGCCGCCTAAGTGCAAAGTACTGTTACAAGATTGGCAGGAGCATGTACTTCCACTCACTCTTGCAGGTGAACTGCTTGAAGTTGTCAATAAGTTCGTGTCTGGGTAGTTGTGTGAGTGCTGGTGGAGGTATGACGGATGGGATTTCCAACAGTCTCATGAAAGCTAGGGTGGCATACGTCAACTTGAGCCATGTCCGGCGCCGTTGCGACATTAGCCTGACTGCCAAAGGTCTGGTTTACAATGCTTCGGTGCGTACCGTCTTGCTCTACGCCTGCAAAATCTGGCCTCACTGAGCTCAGAATGTGCATCGACTCCGAATATTCTATGGTCGCTGTCTCCGTAGAAGTGCTTGCGTTTGATGGTATCATCGCGTGAGTAATTCTGAGGTTCAGAGGCTCTTGTTTCGACACAGTGGAGATCACCATCTGTTGAGTGTCGTCATCTGGAAACATAGTCTTCGGTAGCTTGGACATTTGCTACGAATGTCATCTCGGAGGCTTTCGTACTGGTCTCTGTTCGCTAGCCCTGGGACGGGATGGAAAAGGCGGAGAAGTGGTCAGCTCATGACGTGGCGTTGTGGGATGAAGGATATTTTTGATAGGTTAACATCGGTTGGTGCGTCACGTCTGCCTGGTTGGAGTCCGAGAGATAGCTCGAAACGTTATCGGATATGGCCAAGAATCGTAATCAATGGCGAACGTGCTTGAAATTCCTTCTTCCCTTCCCGACGATAATTGACGAATGCTGTTTGAACTTGTGAAATGTGACTCTTTTCCATCCAGATGAATTTCTTTATCCGTTCTCTACCTATATTTTTACCTTTGATCTCTGTTGATTTATTATTATTGTGTGGTGCATCTTTTGGCGCCTTATTGTACCAAGCTTTTTGTGTTTAAATAAATAATAATAAGTGTTTCCCAATTTACTGACTTAAAATCATTGTCAAATAATTCACTACCATGGAGAGGGTTATTCAGTAGCTGGTGTAAAATGTATTGTACGGATGTTCTGTGGTGACGCAAGATATATGGCGTAACTCAATAGAAATTTATGAACTATGTGATAGGCTGACCAGAAAGAGCTAGGTGAAGTTGAGTTTGAGTGAGGGATGTAATGCTTGGAAATCTAGTAATGAGACCCGGTGGCCACACGCTACCAACGTACATTTATAACAACATGACCAAAAAGGAAACATTTTTTATAATCTATGCTTCTGATAATACCACGTATTAAAACTCAATGAAGAATGAATTACTTTACTAATATATATATATATATATATATATATATATATAATAGTACGGAAAAATGGACCTTGATGAATAATTTTCCGTAAACTAATTTGAATAATTATTATGAACTTTATAGGTTTCCAGACCGTAGGTGTTACAAACTTCCTAGAATAATTTGAGCGCCGAGTCAGATTGATTCATTATAAATTATTTAAATTAATCCCAGCGTGTTAAGAAAATCAAAACAAGATTTTTCTGAACATTTCGCCGTGTAGGCCACAGCTTCTTCAGCGGATGATTAATAATAATCCGAATAAATCTGCTGAAAAAGCTGTGGATTACACGGCGAAACGTTCAGAAAAATCTTGCTTTGATTTTCTTAACACACTGGGATTAATTTAAATAATTTATTATGAACTTTATTTTAATGAATTAGCACTATTGACTTTTAAAGAAGAATTTTGTGCAATAGTGAAACATAGAGTCTTACCTTAAGTAACTGATGGTCATACCGCAAAACGAATATCGATTCCGTATGAAAAAGCGATGGAAATGTGGGAGAACTAATGTATACAATCTATTCCTGATCTAAAATAGAACATTTTTAAATAAATGGATCAGAAAGCCTTACAATACAGTAAATGAAACAGAAATAATTTAGAAGACATAAAAGAATTTCGTAAGATAAACCACTGGGTGAGACTTAAACTTTTGTGGAGTAGTAAACATCAAAAGTATGATACAGTGAATGTTTAAAAACCGAGCAAAATGTGAATTTTACGATAAGTTTAATTACCAACTTGTCATACTGCGAGTGATTATTTCCTTAGAACTTTACTACGACGATAAAATGAGAACAAATAAAACTACTCTAGTACTTTAAGTAATTACAGGCCAGTAGAATACTCAGAAAAAACTCTTGTAGTTGGCTACATAGACGTATAGACTGTAAGTTTTTATTTACCGACAGTCAAAGTCCCAACACATGCATGGCTGCCCAGAAGCAGTTTTGCTATTGTACATTCCCATGATTAGTGAAGACCTGTTCCATTTGGTTGGGCTAGGGTTCTGCTTTTTAAGTTTCATATTGAGGTATGACAGTGTAGTGCAACTGTCAAGGTAGTATGCATTTTCCGCAAACTTCCACCTCTAAGCAAGCTGCAATCTACGAATGTTTGGCATGCGATTCGCTCCCGCCAAATGCAAGATGATGTTACAGGACTGGACTACACCGACTCCTAGTTTAAAAATAGAAGTGAAGTGGTAGAGCACGTTGACCGCTTCCCTTATTTGAGAAGTACCATCAGCCCCAACGGGTTGATCTCTGACGAAATCTCAGCACGGATACAGGGGGGCTAGTTTCGCATATACCAGTTTACGCCGTCTCTGGAGTAGACGAGATATCCGACTATCGACCAAAGGGCGCATGTACTGCTCATCAGTCCGCTCCGTCCTCATTTATGGCTAGCTGTGGGACTTGGCCATTGAGAGTGAAAGACATGAAAAGATTAGCTGTCTTTGATCATAGGTGCCTGCGTTTTATCTCCCGTGTGAAGTGGATTAATAAGGTGAGCAATATTGAGGTTAGGCGTCGAGTTCTAGGTAAAAAGGGGAAATCAATCGACGAAGTTGTGAAGTTACAAAGACTGAGATGGTTAGGACATGTGTTACGTATGCCTAGTATCGCCTTCCTCGACGAGCAATGTTAGCTGATATAGGGTCAGGCTGGAAAAGAGCTAGCGGCGGTCAAACCAAAACATGGCTTCACCAGTCAATGAAATCTACAACAGTTAGTCTAAGCCACTTAGGAAGGTGTAGAATTCCTGGTTGGGGTCCTCGGGACGGTAAAAATCAATGGTTGGAAACAATCGGTGACATGGCTCAAAATCGTTCTCAGTGGCGCAGACGCATCCACTCCTTGTGACTTATGATTTCCAATAAAACTATATTGTTCCTCGTTAATACTATTCCTTTATCTCACACCTCTGTTTACTGTCTCTATTTTGCTTTTCTTCTACTTTCTTCTCTTGCTTTGTGTGCTACGTGGAGTGTGGCGACTTGAACTGCTGCACATATGTGCAAAGTTCTATGTCGAAAACAGACAGACAGACCTCTAAGCACTTACCAGCACGTCTTCACATTGCTTCTTCTTGAATTTAACTTTATTACACTTCCAAAACCTACAGTGACATGGAGGTGATGGACAGACTCTCAAAAGTAGTGGAAGTCCGGTTTTAAATTCTGCATAATGCATCGAATAAAAAGGATTCAACGACTAAAACAGAGGGACGCCTAGTGTAATTGGATTCCAACTTAATTTTTAATGGTTAACATCAGTGCACAAAAAAATATCAAGTCTGGAAAATCATGAGGAAAACGTAGTGGCAGTATTGAAGAAATGTGATGAAGCTTTTAGTACTTAGATTAGGATAAAATATGAGTGGATCTTCGCCAAGGAAATATGCTGATGTAATACAATAATGTTCAAGTTTACAGGACTAAATATATAATATAATTAAAAAGCCACTTCAGTCTGAAATCGGATATACTGAAATATAGTCATATGTCTGTCTTGTCACTCATACTTTATACGCTCAAAACAAATTTAGTTTTGATGTAGTCAGTGCTACTGAAGTAAAAGGAGTCTCCAAAACGAACGAGAAACTAGTTTTAAAGAAACATCTAATTGTTTGTTTGATGTCTTAGCTGGAATATCATACATAATGCTGTGTAACATTGGAGACAGCAATAAAACGGGGTTTTAAAGGTGAATACTGTACAATAGTTGATATAAGTACGATGCTAAAATATGGAGTTTCCACACAAACGACATAATCATCTAGATTTTAGTGAGGATTCCATACCACACATAACCATGAAATGTCTCATTATGACAAGCTGAGCGTGACCATACTTCGCAATTTTCTCACGGATAGTATGCACTAATTATACTTAAAGTGACATATAATCCCATCATGTGATTTTACGACTGAAGATAATACTCCTGAGATAGTACACGAAATAATAATAGTATGGCGGCTATTTCCATGTCCTGAAATAATTCACAACTTCCTTTTCTCTTGGTCTATATTTCACTGAAATACATGTATTCAAAATCCAGTACGTAAAAGCAGTCACCATACTGTGTATGTTCCCGTAACAGGTTTTTCATATCCTAGACTATAAGCTATGCAGTTATTTGCGAGGCCTTTTCATCCTATTCAGTTGACCAGGCTGAAGTAGGTGGGGGGGACTCGAACTTAGAACGCACCGACCGAAAGTTGAGTGCTTAAGGAAATTTGTTATTTTCAACATAGTGCGTCAGTTTTGCTATGATTCACTACCATTTTTTACGTGCCACTAGTGAATCGATTTTTCTGAGGTAACTAATATCTTGTCTACTGTAACTGCATATATCCCAACCAAAATCTGTAGCAATCAGTTTATTTCGATAAGTTTCCATGTGTGGACGTTATTTTATTTACTACTTTTCGGCTAAACCATGTTATTTGTTTTACCATTTTTGTGATATTTCATAATAGTAAACTATACCTTAAAAACGGTTATAATCTCATCTCAAGCATGAGTTTGCATTTGCTGGCTGTTTGTCCAGGTAACTAAAGTCATGAACATATTCACATCGGATGGCTACACGACATATGTTTTATCCCCAGGTAAGCTTGTTCAATACTAGTTCACTTATTTCATAACTCAAGTAACGACACAGGAATGAATTCTGAAATGAAGCGAACTCCGTCTTCTTTAAACCAGTTAGCATCTACCATAAGACACGGAATGAAATGCGTCCTAAACTTAGTGTAAATAAACGAAAGCACAGAGTGACTTCTGATTAATTTTTGAAAATGAAACTTGACGCGTTTTACTTCCAGTTATAAAGAAAGGGTGGCCACTTAACTTTATTCGCAGTATGCCAGTTTCACCGTCAATCCTCTTTTGGCGTAACACTAACAAGGTATGAATAAGTCTTTCATATGTTTTCCAGCAATGTCTACGTTCATGGGGGAGTAAATGCTACTAAGAAAGGAAATGGTTATAAGTACTATACGGCTTTCACAATTCGCTTTGGAAGTTTTTCGTAGTGTCTGACAACTCGAAACATATCGTACACTCATTAAGAGTTGCTTATTGTTTGACTTAGGCTTTGATTGTCTAATATGACATGGTGCCATTGACAGCCAACAAGCAACAAAAAGCGGCATATTCATTGTGAATTGAAAATGGTGTCAAATATTATCGAATACCGGAATTTCGGAAATCACATTGTCAGTGAGTCAATAAATCAGTCTACATAACGCAACGACAGAACAACCTACGTTACCCATGGTTTGTACACTACAAAGAAACTCAACACTACTGCTGTAAAAATATTGTTACACGCAAGTTCAGTATAAATAATTTATGGACACACTAAAATTGTGGGATTCCCAACAAATACGAAGGTCTCTGACGAGACGTCATTAAATTTATTTATTTTTGATTACAGCTTGATTCCACACTGTATTTTTGGTACAAGTATGGAATTTTCAGCGTGGATATCGGTAGCCCAAATTTTGCAGACCGACCATAGATATCAGGTGTGCGTCGGCGAGGGCTCGAACCCCGAACCATGTGCATGGTCGGCGAGAATCCTAACCACTGTGCCACCGACACACTCAGTGGGGAAGTGGTAATATAAAGAACAGATACGACATGTATGAATGCAAACTGGTTTACTGTTTTACATATATTATTATAACATCGTTGGCCTATTTTTGAAAATCAGTTGTCGCTTATGGTTGCTGGAGTTTTAACGCTTCTTAGTGCCGACCTCATACGCAAAATCATATATGTGTATGGGTGCTACTCAACTGGCTACTCATGACATTAAAACGGAAGGTAACGAACAACCCCGGGAATCGCGCGATTTGCCGAGACTGTCCAATACCTAGTTTCTTTTAGACTAACACCTATAGGCTGGACTTATCCGGCATTTTGGTTAAAATTTGGCTCGGTAAATTTTTCCCGTTAATAATGTTTAGTAAAATTGTGTTATATTCTTTAAGCACCAGCCGCTACAAATGGGCGAACGAACCCCAACGCACCAATCACCTGAAAGAGGCATCTTTGTGTATGGAAAACTAATATTTATGAAAAAATTGCATATGATCTGTATGTTAATGTTACAGGGGATACCTTTCTCTCACATTTGATAGAAATAGCTGTCAGTTTATGTTTGGAGTATCAACAGATTATAATTACTTTGTAGATAATATTTATTTAGATGAAGTCTCACAGTGTTGTGGAGTAATATTTACTGGGCAATAAACTGTGCTCGAAACGTCGTCAGTAAATATGACTGTAAAACACTGTGAGGCTTTGTAGTGCACATTGTACCTTTGAACTTTTGTTTAAACTCGCTCACCCACGGTGATCCACGTTTTATCTTTTGACTCGGGAGTCTTCGGTACGTTCATTGGTTCGCTCTCTTGTTGTGCTCTCTTTTTGCACACTCTCCGAGCCTACCTCCAGCAACGTCTGCAGATAAGTTGTACAGTCACTTTATTTATTAAATCTGTTATTCAGTTACGTTAAATACAACTCATACTAAGAATTCTTTCCATTGTTAGCTTTTAAACTTTGATTGAGTTAATCAGTACTTACACGTTAGGTAGAGTACTCGTAAAGTCATAAGACGGTGAAGTTTTTAGTAAGTGTGGTGATATCGAAGACTATCTTAAGTCTAACCTAAACACTTACAAGTGGTGAGCCCGTTTTCACCGTTTTCCGCCATAGTAGCTTAACGTGTTAACAATTCTTTTTACGTTCCGTCTATTTTGTTATTTTTTTTCTTTCACGCACGGTTATAAAGATTTGATTTGTTTTGTTTGTACTTATATCGGTTTTTTATCACCTTGTTAATATTTTGTCTTGTGTGCAAGATGGCTGATGGGGGGTCATCAAGCTTTGACGCGGTGGCCCATATTGCCAAGCTATACGAGGAGATCTGTAGTATACGACAGGAGATGAACTCCAGGAGTCGTGGACGCAGTCCCTCGAGTTCGCGTAGTAGTAGACCCTTGCCACGTGCTAGCAGCAAGCGCCGACAGTCCCGAAGTAACCAGCCTGGAGTGTGCTGGTATCATCGACGTTACGGAGCAAAAGCCCAAAAGTGCACTCGCCCGTGCACCTTCGATGTTCAACAATCGGGAAACTAGCAAGCCAGCACGTACTGGCGACTAACGTCGCTGGCGAACCGCTCTCATGTCGCCTCTTCTATGTTACCGACCGTAACACTGGGATACGCTTCCTAATTGATACCGGAGCAGAGGTCAGTGTAATCCCACCCACAGTAGAGGAGCGCAGGCGGCCAATGTCTCTTCAACTACGAGCCGCAAACGGTTCGCCAATTGCTACGTTCGGCAGGCGCTTTATAGATCTTAACATCGGTTTGCGTCGTTCACTTCGTTGGGTCTTCCTGGTGGCAGACGTTACCACAGGTATAATTGGCATGGATCTATTGCAGCACTACCAATTACTGGTAGATACAGGTAATCATAAGTTAAGAGATCCTGTCACAAACCTCTCCGTCAGCGGTATCGTCACACAAGGCCCAGCCCTCAGCCCTGTATATGCCACACCCACTAGCACTGGTCCTTATTCGCATATACTGCAGTCTTTTTCAGATTTGTTCAAACCTAGCAGCGGCCTGCCATGTGCGACTTCCAACGTCACACACCATATTGTCACTACTGGCCCGCCAGTTTTCGCAAAGCCGAGGCGACTATCCCCAGAAAAACTAAAGGTTGTCAAAGCGGAGTTTGAGCATATGCTAGAAATGGGGATTATTAGGCCATCCAGCAGCCCGTGGTCCTCACCGTTGCACCTGGTACCTAAGAATAACGGTTTAGATTGGCGTCCTTGTGGCGACTACCGCAGACTAAACGCACAAACTGTTCCCGATCGCTACCCTGTCCCTCACATACACGATTTAACCGCCTCACTCAAGGGAGCTCGAGTATTCAGCAAACTGGACCTTACACGGGCTTACTACCAGATTCCCGTCGACCCCGAGGATATACCTAAGACTGCTGTGATTACACCGTTTGGCCTGTTCGAGTTTCTTCGAATGCCTTTTGGCTTACGGAACGCTGCCCAAACCTTCCAGCGTTTTATACATGACGTTTTGCGCGGGCTTGATTTCGCCTTTGCCTATCTGGACGATATCTTGGTAGCTAGTCCAGATGAAGCCACTCATCAACTTCATTTGCAGACAGTTTTCCGAAGACTTGTGACACACTCCCTCACACTCAACTTGCCGAAGTGTCAGATTGGAGTCACTTCCCTGAATTTTTTGGGACATAGGATAGACAAAGATGGAATTTATCCGTTACCTGACCGGGTAGAAGCTATTCAAAACTTCCCTCTACCCACTTCTCCCAAGGCACTACGCACTTTTCTCGGGATGGTTAGTTACTACCGTCGCTTTATCCCACAGTGTGCTCATATCGTGACCCCCTTGACTGATATGCTTAAAGGGAAATGCAAGTCTTTGGTGTTCACTAAGGAAGCCTCGACAGCTTTTGCAGCTATCAAGAAAGCTATTGCTGACGCCACAATGTTGGTCCATCTAGATGTTCAACTTCCAATCAGCATCTCCGTAGATGCCTCTAATACTGCGATCGGAGCCGTCCTACAACAGCGTATGGCTAATGTATGGCTACCGATTGCTTTCTTTTCACGTAAACTTACCGCATGCGAATCTCGATACAGCACATTCGGTAGGGAACTTCTCGCTGTCTATGCTGCTGTCAAGCATTTTCGTCACTTCGTGGAAGGCCGGCAATTTACGGTATTTACCGACCATAAGCCATTGACGTACGCCCTCCACACTACTTCAGACCGGTATTCACCGCGAGAATCACGCCATTTAGACTATATTTCCCAGTTCACTTCTGATATCCAGCACGTTTCTGGATCGGATAACGCGGTAGCAGACGCTTTGTCTCGCGTATGTGCTACGTCCGTACCACCAACCATCGATCTTCATAAAATGGCCGAACTCCAACTGAACGATTTGAACTTAGAACACCTGTCAAATAAAACCTCACTGAAGATAGAACGCGTCCCCTTGCTAAACAGTGAGGCAACTATACTTTGCGATATGTCAACTGGTACTCCTCGACCGATTGTTCCCACGTCTTTACGCCGAACTGTGTTTGAGTCACTCCACAACCTCTCCCATCCTGGCATACGAGCAACGGACAAGTTGATTTCTGCGAGATTTGCGTGGCCCGGTATGAACCGTGATGTGCGTCAATGGACACGTGCTTGTGTGCAATGCCAACGTGCTAAAGTCACCAAGCATAACATCACGCCGTTGGGGACGTTTGCGACCCCAGACGCTCGGTTCCATCATATCCACCTGGATATAGTAGGGCCTCTGCCCCCGTCTAACGGCTGCTCGTATTTACTCACATGTGTGGATCGTTTCACACGTTGGCCGGAAGCCATTCCGATACCAGATGTAACGGCTCAAACCGTCTGTCGTGCCTTCATGGAAGGCTGGGTTGCCCATTTTGGATGTCCCGCAACTGTCACTACCGACCGCGGACAACAATTCGAATCCACAAGCTTCAAAGAATTGTTAGAGATGCTGGGATGCAAACGCATTCGCACAACCGCGTATCATCCCGCGGCAAATGGCCTAGTAGAACGTTTCCACCGTCAACTCAAAGCTGCGTTGATGGCAGTGGACAACAGTAAGTGGACAGATTCGCTACCACTGGTCCTGCTTAGCATCCGGGCTACGCTTAAGGGGGATCTGCAGTGCTCGCCAGCTGAATTGGTGTACGGTACCACCATGCGTTTACCAGGCGAGCTAATCGCTCCCGAAACTTTCGAGCCAAATTTCCCGATACCACCCGTTACGCTCAGCAACTTAAAAGTTTTATGCAGCGACTCCGACCAGTTTCCACACGCACTCAGAACCGAAAGGTTCAGGTTGATCGGCGACTTGATGACTGTACACACGTTTTCGTGCGTCACGACGCCATACGAAAGCCATTACAACCACCGTATGACGGGCCTTTTAAGGTCCTTAGTCGTAAAGATAAATTTTTCGTTATTGACCGATGCGGCCGCCCAGACACTGTCAGCATAGACAGACTTAAAGCGGCATACACTGAAGAACCTTCACCCTCCCCATCGGCTCAATCAAATAGCCCCACTGAACCTAGTCCTTGTCCAGACTCAACTACCTCACCTCCAGTGGTGAATGATGATTCTCCTACCGTCACCAGTAAGACCCCTGTCACACGTGCTGGTCGACGTGTTCACTGGCCCAAGAGGTTCGTAGAATTCTTTCACTGAACTAATCCATAGGTAATGCTACTAGTGATTTTTTATTCCTTGTCACAATTTCTTATTCAATTCTGCTATATTTAATCTATTTGGTCCCGCTTCTGGGAGTAGTCGTTTTAACCCTCACTAATCCTTTTAATCTTTATCTCTCGTTACAGAGGACCAGCAGCAGTTTGTTTTTACCCCTAATTTTTCATCTATTTCATCTCAATCTACTCGCTAGATCAGTTGGCTTCTCATGTCA